AATGTCAGGCCCCTTAAACAATGCCCACTGCCTGCATCTAAGCACAAGGGAGTGGTTGGAGCCTAGTGGAGTTAGAAGGGGCACCCTCCCAGAGGAATATACCCTAGGGGCGTGAGAGGGGAAAGGGAGGCACTAGTGGGCAGTGCTGGACTCGGAGTCAGAAAGACCTGAGTTTGGATTCTGCCTCTGACACCTTGTTATTCAGTCATTTTTCAGTCGCATCCAACCCTTCGTGACCCCATTTGGAGTTTTCTTGGCAGGGATATTGGAGGGGTTTGCCATTTCCTTCTCCAGCTCATTTTACAGATGAGGAAACTGAGGCAAACTGGGTGAAGTGACTTGCCCAGGGTCACACAGCTAATAAGCGTCTGAGGCCAGATTTGAACTCAGGAAGATGAGTCTTCCTGATTTCCTTTGCCACCTAGCTTCCCCTTAAAAAACTGGTTTGTCATTTCCTTCTCCAGTGATTAAGGCAAAGAGAAGTTAAGTGACTGGCCCAAGGTCACGCAGCTAGTAAATGTCTGCATTTGAACTCAGGTCCAGAGCTCTATCCACCGCATGACCTAGCTATCTCAGACACTCATAGGGTCACTTACACAAGTGACTCTAAGCAAGTCATTTAACTTCTCCAACCTCAGTTTTCTCCTCTATAAAATGGGGATAAAAGCAGAACACCCACCTCCCAGCTTTGTATGAGAATCAAATGAGGTAACGTTGTCATCTCAGTCGGCAAACCTTACAATGCTCTACAAACACTAGTTGTCATTACCATCCCCGTTACTGTCACTACTGTTTTGCACAAGGGCTTGTCTGTAAGAGGGGGAAACCACCAGATAAGGGCAGCGAGGGCCCGCTCGGGGAGACGTAACAGGAGGTGAATGCAGTTAAACTGGAAGGGAAAAGTCCGGGACAGGAGCCTGGAAGGCCATGATCACAAGCCGGGCTTTCCCCCAGGGACCAGCCGGAAGCCGCTGGAGCAGGGACGGGCAGGCAGCTTCCGGCCCACAGAGCCATTCTGGCCCAGCCGTGTGGTTTTAGGGGTGGGAGCGCTGGCCTGCACTCACAGGGGCCCAGCAGGACAGTGGGGATGGGGACACTTTCAAGATTAGAAGACCGGGGAGGGTGCCACTCCAGGCTGGATCTACTGACTGTGACTTTGGCCATCAATCAAACAAGCATTTATTAAGTGCTTACTACATTCCAGGCGCTAGGGATGAACATTCCCAGTCCTTAAGGAAGCGTGCATTTTAACAGGGAAAACAATGTGTAAATGATAAGTCCATACTGGTTTTTATACAGAAGGGCGGAAGGCATGAGGGGGGACGCCAAGAAAGGCCTTCTGCAGAAGGCAGCACCTGGGGCCGAGCCTAGAAGGAAGTGATGCTTATAACGGCTCTGAGCCTCTCAGTTTCCTCATCTGTCAAATGGGGATAACACCACCTGGGGCTGTGAGATCAAGGGTGTCTAGGACTTTGTAAAAGGGCAGCATTATACAAATGCCAGCTGCTACTTATTAGCACAGGGAGGAGGGCACGGGCTGCTGCTTCTGCACCTGCCCCTTATTTACCTAGTGAGAATTTCTTCCTTCTCCACCCCAGCCATAAGGGAAGAGAACCGTGTCTCCTCGGGAGCGGAGAATGAGTGGAGCGTCTGGCCAGTAAGATGCTCTCCCTGGGGAAAGGGGTGATGGGGGAGTGAGGGGAGAAGCTGGGGCAACATCGAGAGGTGTCTGACTCTTCCATTACATCCAGGAAGGTTGACCAGCTGGTCCCATTTGTCCTCTGCCCAACCGTCTGGGATGGAGAGGCTCTGCCCTCCCCCCCTTCTTCAAGGGAAGGGAACTACTCAATTCTGTGGTTGAGAGGGGGATTCTTATCTCTGTAGGGAACCTCCCCCCACAGTCGAGTGTAATGTAAGCCCCCAATGACAGGAACCCGAGGCAAAATCCAGCTGTGGCTGAAGAGACACAAGATTCTAAGTTCCAGAGGGTACGGATCATCTCACTTTTGTCTTTGTATGTCCAGGGCATGGCACAGAACCAGGCACACAGAAGGCCCTTGCAAAGCAAACAGAACAAAACTAAACAAAAAAAACAAACAAAAAAAAATGCTTACTGGATCACTGTGAAATGTGACCAACTCAAATGGAAGCTGCCTGAAGGCAGGAACCATAGAAGTCTTGTCTTTGAATTCCCAGCACCCAGCCCAAAGCCTGGAGCTTTGTAAGCACTTAATGCAGGCTCCTGCGAAGTCACTGGCCAAAAGAAAGGCTCCATGTATACACTGAAGCTTTTACAGCTTACCTTTCTATGGTAACAAAGGCCCGGAAATAAAGCAGAGGCCCACACAAGGTGTGGTATGTAACTGTACAGTCATGGGACATCAATGTGGTATGACCTCGGGCGAGTCACTTCACCTTGTCTACCTCAGTTTCCCCATCTGTAAAATGAGCTGGAGAAGGAAATGGCAAACCACCCCAATATCTCTGCCAAGAAAACCCCCGATGGGGTCATGAAGAGTTAGACACAACTGAAAACAACTGAACAATAACAAAAAAAAAACCTATAAAGTTTTGTTAAAAAAATTACTTTGTGTTTATTTTGTATAAACTTGCATGTGTAAACTTAGCTCTGATTCCCTACAGCCTTCCCCGATAGAATATAAGCTCCTGGAGGGCAGAGACTTTCATTTTTGTCTCTGTAAGCCTATCACCTAACACAGCACCTGGAAATAGGTGTTGTTCAATCATGTCCAATTCTCCATGACTCCATTTAGCGTTTTCTTGGCGAAGATACTGGAGTGGTTTGCCATTTTCTTCCCCAGATGAGGAAACTGAGGCAAACAGGGGTAAGGCAATGACTTGCCCAGGGTCATACAGCTAGTAAATGTCTGAGGCCAGATTTGAACTCTTCCTGACTCAGACCCTGTGCTCTGTGGCGCCCCCTAGCTGCCCTATGGTGAACCCTTAATAAGTGTTTGATTGACTGAGCCATCAATGTGTTTTCTTCTTCAAAGACCCAACTTACACCAGCCTTTTCCCATCCTTGTTACGGGTACCTGCCGACCTCCCAGTTAGTGCCTGGCTCCCTGTTTTCCCTTCTCCCACCTCCTCCTCTGATGTCAACCTCAGGGCTCCGTTTATGCCCTTTTGAGCCAGGAAGTGGCCTGGTCCAGAGTCTGCACCTTGTTTATGTTGTGGACCCCTTGGCAGTCTGGTGAAGCCTACCCATTCCTCAGGAAAAACTGTATATAATGTAGAAGATTAAAAGCTAATAATAATAATAGTGATGATGGTAATACCTAACATTGCTAGAGCATTTTAAAGTTTACAAAGCACTGAACCAACCAGCTCATTGGATCCTCACAACTACCCTGGGAAATAATAATAATAAACTACAACAACTACTACTACTAGCATTTATATAATGTTCACAATACTGCTACTACTACCACTGCCACTAACATTTATATAGTGTTCACACTACTACTACTACCACCACCACCACCATTTAAATAGTGTTCATAATACTACTACTACTACTACTACTACTACTACTACTACTACTACTACTA